TCGTGTTATCCTAAAGTGTCTTAATCGTGTTTTAACTTTTTTAAAAACAGTGGACGGTTGAATTTGCTTTGTATTTTTGTTTGTGGGCCTTACAGAAGAACGTTAGATTTGGAACTAACAACAAAATAAAGTCAACCAAAATCTCAACTGGTTCGTTCATATGCATAATAAGTGAGTTGTGATATAATCCGATATGAGACGTCATTTCTTAAGATAATAATTTAAAATGACTGTGGTTTTATTCTTCTATATCGTGTCAAGGATATATATCAAGATTATCATTATCGTATCAAAATCCGGATGATAAAATTGTCGACTTGACTTTTTAAAATACATTGCCTTCACATGTACGTTAGTGATGATGTATAGTTGTGGATGTACACAAAAAAAAGTCCATTGAGGAAAAAGTTGTTAGCATTTCGTTGACGGGAAAAATATTAGCAAAAATGAAATTACAGAGAAAGACAACAAAAATTGAGAAATTAGAGAAAAATATATAATACCTTCAGCCAAAACATTTGAAATATGTGAATGATATTAATCATGAAACTAAAGAGACAAACAAGTAATTGTAAAGAAAACATGTGAATGATGATATGTAGAAAAATTATGATTGTCAAGACTTTTTTCACAATTATGTGCTGTTCTTGCTAAAAAAATGAATAAATCATTTGTTCTTATCAATTTACATCATAATTTTCCCCATATCTCATACAGATATTTTAAGTAGGGTGATTTAGCTTAATAACCGACAAAAAAAACATAATATAAAATTTAATCAAATTGCTAGAAAGAGATAGAAATAAATAGAGAAAGAAAAAAAATGGATTTTAATTAGATTTTATATTATAGTTTTTTTTAGGCCAATTTCCCTTTTAAGTACTATAGTCACAATTAATTAAGCTATTTCAAACACTTATATAGCAGGGCGAACCCACGTTATGGGATGGAATGTCACATGACCTGCGTAAAATTATATATTTTATTAATTAGGCTTATGTACATTTGGTCATTAGTTCCTCACATGACCTTTCATTTTTATGTTCAAATCTTGTTGCCTTCCAATTTTTTTCTCATTTTCAAAACTTTTTATTTTATTTTATTTATTTTTGCATCAGATAAAAAATAATTCTGGATCCGTCCCTGCTTTATAGCTTTACTTGTGTGTATTTTTTTGAAAACGAATGGACATGTAGTCAACTTTGATGCCCTGACAATTATGTAATCTACAACAATGATTCTAGTATACGAGCTTGTTAGTAAATGTTAAACAAATAGAGCTTGCTGCTATAAAACATGTCAATTTTCTTTTTCTTTTTTTGCTAAAAAAATTGCTAAAATTACATGTCAATTTTCTATGTCCGATAAATAATACTCATATAAGTCAACTAGACATATGCAAATTTTGTTTATTTAGCATTATATCACAAAAGCCGCAATCTTTTGCGATTTTCTTTGCTAATATTAAATGCTTGATTATACCTCCACATGTTTGGTATGGGGTGGAAATGTAGATAGATATATAATATAACCCGTAAATTGAAACTATTAATTTAAACCAATTCTCTTCTTAAATATCAAATTATTAAGTTTTTTAAAAATATAACAAATTATCTTGGGCTATTTAAAAGCAAACCAGTTTCATATTTCTTTTTTTTTCTATAAATTTTACATTGACAAAACAGTCTCAAATGAAATTCGCATGGACATCATAGTTTATACTCGTATAGTTTTTTTTAGAAAATTACATCGTATTGTTATACTGTAGAAAAAAACTATTACTCAATTTTTAATGTCTAATCTTAACGCATTATATTAAATGAAAATGGACCGTAGCATCAAAGGTCATATATATTCTGTCAATTTTTAGTATTCATCCGTGTATTTCACTCGATTACAGCAAAATAATATTTATATTATTTGGTAATTATATTTTTTAAGCGATCTGCATGACGTTTTACCAAAAAAGTTTTAGGAACACATATTTTTGGAAGCCGAAGCTTTTATTGCAAATCAGCATCGAGCAACAGCTGACAAGCGACGATAAATCCATTCTTTGACAAAAAAAGGTTTTGCACATGTCACATGTCATTTGTACTTTCCTATTTTTTTTTTTCTAATTTAGATATCTACCGTCAAATGATCCAAAATTCCAAACTTTTTAAAAATATCATGTTTATTTTAAACTAGTCTTATCGTACCCGAACTAATTAAACTCGTTAGAATACTTGAAACTAGAATAGGCATTGATTTGCATTCGTCAAACATGGTAGTTCAACGCTGTAAAAGAGAATTGGATTGGTGAATTATATATATTATTATACAATGGATAAGTTGCAGCTTACGACGACGTGGTATAGTCTGTTTTTGGTATGTCAAAAGATTAAAAAGTTTAAAAGTTGTATAGAAATGTGAAGGATGATACTAGAAAGAGACAAAGGTATAGTCCAAAATTTGACTTTTCTACTATGATATTCAATTGTTTTTTTATTAACCCATTGTTTAATCTCCTCGCCTCGCGTATGGACGGATGGTTGAGAGTGGAGACACGTTCTTATTAGCTGTTGTTGACTTCTTGACTTCCGTGTAAAACACAAAAATCATAATTTTATTGGTTACAATAGTTATAATTATCGAATACTTCTCTCTATCATATTAAATAATTTTTTAAAATTTTTTTTTTCTCAAATTAGACGATGTTTTAAATTTTTAAAATAAAATTAATTATATTTTTGTTGTTTATAACTCTTTAAATTCTGCATATTAGTTTTCTATTGGTTAAATTGTATTAAAATCGGTGGTTTTATGTTAAAAAATAAAAAATTAAATAATTTCTTAATTTGTGTATAAAAACTTTAAAAATCATTTAAAATGATACCAAGAGAATAGTTTATAAATATAATAGGCATCTCTTATCAATTATCATTACCGATATATATTTATTGCCGAATAGTTTAAAATTTGCCGATATATACAAATTTCGACATCTTAGACTCGCATATACAAATTTTGAGCCCAATAATAGTCACAATTTCGATGAAATAAATTTGAAAAATGTTTAACAAAAAAAAAACTTCGATGAAATACACTTTTGATAGCCTAAAATAGTTGACGAACGGAATGGGAAAACATATTTACCGTTATTTAAAACTTACAAGTTACAACTATCCAGTTTGGTTTTATCAAGTAATCTAAAACGCGACTGATTTTGGATATGTCTATCTACCTTATAATTTTGATATGACCAAAATATTAGATTAACCAATCATTTCTAATGTACAACTTTTTTTAGTATTACGTTTTCGTTTCTTTTACGAACTTTGATACTTATATTTATTTCGTTAAAATCTTTATTACTCTATTTTATTGTCAGGTCTCCAAAATACCACATTTTATAGTTTATTTTCTAAAATTACCTCAGGAATCTTACCTTTGCAAATGGTTTTTNAAAGACTAATACGAAGTCCTAAACCTTGAAGAGTCATTTATTTATCATTTAAAAATGTCGGAAATTGTTGGAGACCACTTGTTTAGATGTCTGACTTATGGCAGTATACCATTCATTATTAAAATAAGCCGCAAAAATAACTCAATTTACAAATATAATATTCAAATTTCGATAATGACAGGCTTGCCCACGTTCTTTGCCTATAAATTTGACATGATCTTTCTATCCTTCAAACAACAACCATAGAAGAAATAACAACACACAATGACCAAAGAAGTTTGCTCCAACATTGGACTTTGGTTGTTATTCACGTTATTTCTTTGTAACTATGTCGTCGATCTCGAGGCCTCGCACCATGTCTACAATAGACTTACTCAAAGCACTAACACCAAAGCTCCTTCCGTAAACCAGCCATACCGGACCGGTTTTCATTTTCAACCTCCAA